TATAAACATAAAGAGAGATTGATTGATTGATTGATTGATACATTGATTGATTGATTGATTGATTGATTGATTGATTGATTGATTGATTGGTTCATTGATTGATTGATTGATTGGTTGATTGGTTGCTTGATTTGCTGGTTGATTATTTATTTTGAATTTTGTATTCATCCTTCAGACTTGCTGCTGGTGACCAAGACTTCGCTAGCCCACTAAAAATAGATTGAACAGACAAACAAACAAAACACAAAGGAGGTCGTTGCAGGAGAGACACTCGAACAGAGATCCTAGAAAACTTAATCCTATTTTCCTTCTGCAGTTTTCACAAATCAGAACAATAAAAAAACGTTTTTAAAAACTGCAACTGAATATTCTCAGGTTACCCTTTAAAGAAGAAACAAATAAATAAAAATCAAACTTTAAAAAAGAAAAGAAAAAAAAAGAACAACCCGCAACTGACAGCTCGCAAAACTGGTAACTTGATTTTAAAAATATATTCTTTTAAACAAAACAAAAGAAAAAAAAACACTAAAAAAAACAAAGCAAGAACGACAGACAAGTTATTGAAAGATCAACAGTCATTCTTCAGACTTGACTTCTGGCCAAACAAGAATCGAAGTTCCCGCCAGATCCCACTCACCACTACCACCCACTCACCACCCACTACTACCAACCACTCACCACTACCACCCACTCACCACTACCACCCACTCACCACTACCACAACCACTCACCACTACCCCCCACTCACCACTGCCACAACCACCCACTCACCACTACCAGTACCACTCAGCACCATGTCCTTCAGCTTGACCTTCCACGAGATCCTTGACCATAACATCCGCCATGTCTACAGCGGGGTGCCGCTACAGCTGACCTACAGGTGGGTGCCACACGTCGTTTATTTATTTATTTATTTATTTATTTATTTATTTATTTATTTATTTATGTAATCCATTCATTTATTTCTTTGATTGTTTGTTTGATTGTTGTTGTTTTTTAAATTCATTTATTTATCTATTCATCCATTTTGAACAAGGGGCAAAACTTTACCTTCGATATTTTCTCAAAACCGCCCCCTTGTTGTGCTGAAAAGCGACCATAATTTCTTCTCTCCCCCTCCAGACATTCCAGCGAGTACCCAAACATGGACCAGCTGCGGCAGAAGCGAGACAACCAGACGTTGAAGAACAACGTGCTGAGGACCTCGGAGTACACCGCTGAGTACAAGTGTCTCATCCCACGCGCCCCCGCCTTCAGGCTGCTGTCCAGGCACGAGGTTAGTTAGTTAGTTAGTTAGTCAGTCAGTTAGTTAGTTAGTTAGCTAGTTAGTCAGTTAGCTAGTTGGTTAGTCAGTCAGTCAGTTAGTTAGTTAGTTAGTTAGTTAGTTAGTTAGTAAGTTCGTTCGTTAGTTCGTTCGTTCGTTCGTTCGTTACTTGTCGTTAGTCAGTCAGTCAGTCAGTC